AAGTTTTTTCATTTTCCAATTATTTATCACCAAACAGCATGGGCAGAAGCCAAGCACAAGGGCTCCCACTACAGCTGCTGGTCTTTCCCACTCTGTGCCCCCTATACACCTCTGTACCTCACTCATATCTGTTCTGGAGGGTTGGGGGAAACCCCAGAACAGTGGAGTGGGGAAGGAGAGGGGAGATTGTTTTATCCGGCAAGCGGAAATGCTCGTACTGGTGGAACAGCTGCATTAGCAAGACGTGGAATTTCACCCATTGCTTTAAAGATGGCCTGTCCGTAGCTGGGAACAATCAATGGATTTAAAAAGACCTGAAGATGATGTAACAGAGGCATCATTTCCTGTAGTATATAAGAAGCTCGCATGAAGAAGGCCATGACAACTTCAGGTGAGGCTGAAACAAACTCCTATCTGAAATGCTGTAGAGAGGCTGTCAATAGGTAGAGACAAGGCTGAGCTGGAATGACTCCTTCTGACAATGTAAGGCAGCTTCCCATGTTCCTCCTTACACTCTGAGTGCTTTTCTTTCATTGTTGTCTGTAGTCAAACAAGCTTTGCAGGTTTTTAGAGTAGTATCAAGACCTGTAGCACCTGTGAAATAACAATGGGATGTAATTCCACACAATTATTATTACCGTTATTATGAAAGTTATGATGCATGTCCTGCCTTTCCCCCAGACAGGGACTCAATGAGACCTACACAAAATAAAACAGCACAGATCAGATACAGACATTTAAAAACCTATAATTGTTAAAAAGTAATCGAGCCATAGAAGAAAATGATAACAAATCTATTAAAATACAGATAGTATTTCCTTCAAGAAGTTACCAAACGCCTGTCAGAATAAAACAAGTCTTCATCTGCTGGCAGAAGGGCAGCAAGGAAGGAGCCAGTCTACCTTCTCTAGGGAGGGAGTTCCAAAGTCTGGGAGCAGCCACCAATAAGGCCCTCTCCTGCATCCCCATGAAATGTGCCTGAGAGGGTGGCAGGACTGAGAAAAAAGCCTCCTTTGAAGATTTCGGAGATGAGGCAGGTTCATATGGGACAATACGATCCTTCAGATAGCCTGGGCCTAAGCTGTATAGGGCTTTAACCCTATACAACACTTTGAGTTGTGCCCAGAAGGCAGCTTGTGGGTTTGCCATTTGTTGGCAGTGTCTTTCCGTTGGCCACTAAATAATAACACACTTTTCATTTTGATCACAGCAAGTTGCACAAGCCCAATGGGGAAGGCTGGGTTAGAGGAGGGCCTGACCAACATGGTAATCGGTCACCTTGGATCTTGTTGCCAGAAAGAGTAGATTGATGTGTGGTGCAGATATATTGAGCTGCCTCGTTTCATTCCATTCTTTTAATGGTGAAATCATTTCACAGGCTCTCATTGAGATGCCAACCAGGCAGAGAGTTCCAGCCCACTGTGCTTTGCTTTTTCTTGCACTACAATTATAGACTGAAACTGCCCGTTCTCATTAGTGGAGCCGGCATTAAGATGTATGGCTAAATTCCCTGCCTAGATCTTGGTCAATTTATGCCTCTTAAGCATGCTGTTGACTTCAAGGTTGCCATTTTAACTACACCGACCACATTGCACCCGAGCTTCTGATGGGGCCAGTGGGTGACATTGACTTAATGCTGCAAGACTGACTGTTAGGATTAGGCTGTGAGCAAACGTTTATGAGAAGCAGATTTATGGGCGCTGAGCTGTGCTTGGGAAATGGCTCTTGCTGCATTTCAATCGGCATTGGCTTGACAGTTTGGAAGGGCTTTGCTTATCCTTCAGTGAATAAGGGAAGGATCAATGTACAGCTGCAGTCAGGCACGTTAGAGGGAGAGGCAGGCGCAGCTGAGTCAGCCGTTCAGTCATTGTTTGAATTGGGCAGAAACCAATGACCCAGGGATAACACTGACATGCGCTGACTTAGAACATGGCGTTTTACTGTGGACTCAGAGCCAAAGTTTGCCAGCAGTGCACAGAGGCTGCCCAGTGGCAAGGAGCACGGAATAATATTACTGTTTCTTTTCTAATCTAAATTTTCGCTGCTGACTTAATCTAGGCTCTGGCTGCCCTCAAGACCCCACCCCTTCTGGTCTCATCATAATCAACAACAACATTTTGATTTATTCGTCTCTTTCTTTCTTTCTTTCTTTCTTTCTTTCTTTCTTTCTTTCTTTCTTCTTTCTTCTTTCTTTTTATGGAACTGACACTGTTGCAAGTGCCACATAATGCCCATGCCTCATTTGTAAGAAGCTGATCCTTTAGTGCGGCAGTTGTTGTTTTCACTTTTCCTGAAAGTTTTATTGTTTTATTCTGTCTGTAAACCACTTTGAGGGTTGTTGTTTTTATTTTACAATCAAGCAGCATCTAAATTTTATGAAATAAATAATAATAAATAGAAGTGGCCCAAAGCAACATTCAAAATAATACAAACATTAAAACCAAATATTCATTGACTCCCTGCCCTCATTTGCATTGAGCACTGACTCCTCTTGCAGGGGAAAAACTAGGGTTTATTTCACCTGGGTCAAAGACCCAGTTGGAGACCCTACCATGCTCATTTGTGTACACACACAGAGAGAGAGGAGACTGGAAGCCTCAATTGCACCCCTCTGAAGGCCAACCCCCCCCCCACAACCTTTTCATTGCGTTCAAAGGCATCTCATTGTACTGGCTGAGGGCTTAACTACATTAGAGGGGCTCCAGTTACAGAGGACAGTTCTCTGTTTGAAGTAATCGGAACGTAGGCGGCTGCCTTGTGCTGAGGCAGATTCTCCCACAGGAAGCAGTGATGGCCCCCAGCGTGGATGGCTTTAAAATAGGATTAGACCAGACACGTCCAACAGGTAGATCATGATCTACCGGTAGATCACTGGACGTCTGTGGTAGATCACTGGTAGAACACTGCTCCCCCCAAAGAAGCTCAACAAACTTGGCTCCCCTGTCGTGAACCCCCCCAAACAGGGCCTTCCTTCCTAAAAAAAGAGTTTGACCTGAACCCCCCAAAAGGGGGTCTTTAACTCTGTGAGTAGATCGCAGTCTCTTAGGAGTTGGCCACCCCTGGATTAGACAAATTCACACAGGAGAGGACTATCAATGGCTACTAGCCACAATGGCTATGCTCTGCCTCCACAGTTTGAGGCAGCAATGCTTCTGAATTCCAGTTGCTGGAAACTACAGAAGGGTAGAGTGCTCTTGTGCTTGAATCCTGCTTCCTGGCTTCCCACTGGCAGCTGATCAACCACTGTGAGAACAGGATGCTGGACTAGATGGGCCACTGGCCTATTCTAGCAGGCCCTTCCTATGTTCTTAGCACTGAGCTATGGTCCCTCCTAACCAGGTCCAGATTAAAGATAAAATGTCCATAGGAAGGGAGACCTGGAAGTTGCCCACCAACAGTTTGCACTTTGGACAGAAGACTGAGCAAGGAGACAGGTTACCTAGTCACTATCTTCCCTACTATGGTGAGATGTCATGCATTTAAATTGTAGTATTTATATCTAAATGTGCATTTAGTTATATGAACTAGCACATGCAGATTTTATGCAAATCAGTGCCCTTTTTTGTCCTCTTTGATTATGCATCTCATCTTTTCTTGGCTACCCTAAACTACATACATAACAATCTGCCTTTCTATAGCCCCTATATCTAAGCCAAGCCCCCGTCGGGAGGTGATCTGGGACAGAGGGAAGGGAGTGCTTAATTATTTTCCTGCCTGCCATTTCTCTGCTCTAAACGGTGCTGCTTTTGCTTGGAAATAGTGGCTGCCAGGAGGTTGGCTCGGCCCAGAAATGTTACTGTTTTCTAGCTCCCGTAACATTTGTTCTTCTCATTTCTCATAAGCATTTTGGAAATGTGCTATGCCAAATGTTCAACACACTGGGGGATGGTGTCAATGTGAATTAAGTGGATGTGTCTGGCTAAACCCAGTTCATTCCAGCCTTTTCCATTGGCTGACCAGATCTAGTAGAGGACAGGACTTGAGCACAACAAATTCTTATAAAGAGGTGAGGCATGTATCAGAGATACAGTTGTATTCCTCCCCTCCCCCCCTCAGTCCTCTCAATGGGGAAGTAGGGCCTAATGGCAGTAAGAGACTGTCTGGGTTCCCAGCTTGGGTTGCAAGTGGGAATTGCAGGAAGTGGAGAGTGGAATTTAGACTGGGACAGGGAACCTCACATTCACAGATGCAGGGAGAGCACTGGGGATACTAAATCTGCCCTGAAATTCAGCTACAGGGAAGGAAAGACAGTTTAGCACTAGAGGCTAAGTGAGTGCTGGTTGTTTGCCAGTAGTGGCTACTGGCCTTATAAGTCCATTCTAATGATTGCTTTCTACAAAAGCAGGACATCAACTCAAAACATGCCCCGTTGTCAATTATGAATGGAGCAAAAGTTTCATGGTAAGGGTGCTCCGTTCTTTATTATGAGATATTGTTATGTGTCAGGGAACTGACATCGGAGCGAGAGGCGAAGGGGAGGCTCCTAGATGATGCTGGAGAAGGACCCAGCAGCAGGGGGAGAAACAGCTCAGTAGAGGGGGAAGCATTTAAGCGCAACACCAGGGATAAAGGGGGCAGATGGGGGCATCGGTGTGAGGGCTCAAGGACACTTCACTGGACCGCAGTGAGGTGTGGACAGGTCCTCCGCTTCCATCGCCCTCCCTGCGCAGAAGACTCCCGCGCAGTGAGAGGAGGAGGAGACTGGGTGTCAAACAACTTTTATGTTGGAAGAGGTTCAAGAAACGCCCACTGGCCGGTTCTGCCAGCGACTGAGGCAGTCACAATTAGAAAGGGCTGTGCAGTCAGAAAGGTTTAACAAGGCAAATTAGCCTAGAGAGGCACCAGTTTACGCACGAGTAACTCATACTCATCACATTATGCTTTTACAACACTTCTAATAAAAACAGGTGTTGTAGCTCCCCCCCCCCAAGTTTTATCAGCATTATGTGTCATGCAATGTGTGGGAAGGACAAGGTTCCATTTGGGTAGAGGAGAGAGAATGCCAGTGCTCAGAGGCCATTGCACTTCCTGAGGTCTCCCACTTGCTTCTGCTCATCGTTCCAGCTTCCCAGGAGGGTCTTTGTAGGGTTCAGTAGTGGTAGCCTAGGTTGCCTCACTCATCCCAACTGCCACAAGTGTCACATGCTTCCCCCAAACACCTCCCATCCCTTCATCTTACCATGTGGTTCCATGGACCAAGCTTGCGCTGGGTGGAGGGGACTCTGCAGGGCGAGAGAGTCAATGATGGTGTGAGGATTTTTGCCCGGTAAGCGTAAGTCTGGTGTAGGGAGGAAGAGTGGAATTCCTTTTTTTAAGAATAAGTAAATCTGGACTGCCATCCCAACAAACATTTCTCAGGTTATTTATATCCAACAGGCTTGATAGACTTCAAACAAGGCTCAAAAACCCTAAGTTGCAGGAGGCAGAGGAGGCCTTCAAGATGCTGAAATTATTTCCCAGCCTTGACTATACACTATCGGACATTTTACTGGATAGCTTGTGGATAAAGAAAGGGCCATTGCTACCGCCTCACAAATGAGTTTGTAGCAGCTTCTCCTTGAAGTGCAAGCAGATATGAACTACAGTAAACTGCTTCAGAGCTGCCTGTCTGGTGCATATTTTTCTTAAGATTTTAATTGAAGTGTAGTTCGGAATACAGTTGTAAGTTTTGCATATTTTGATGTTTAGATTTCATTACACCAACTCATTCCATGAAATCCTGTCCCTCGAGGGACATGTAGATAAAGTTAATTAATGAGATTTCTGGTTTAGAGATACTATTGTTTCCCCCCAAGATTGAATTTCTTTCTTTCTTCTCTTCTGTTGTACATTAGGCATCCTGAACTTCAAACACTCTGCCAAACTCCACTAAAATTTAATTTTACTTGCGTCAGTAGGGAGTGTGAGGATCTTGGTTTTATCATCAGGCCTCTCTCCCTCTCTCACATATGTGGTGCCACCTCTCTCCCTTCCTCTTCCTAAAATCCATTCTTTTTTGCATGGCGGCTGACTTTTTCTCCAAATCGGCACCCCCCAGCTGTAACCAAGTTTTAAGCACATGTGGTAGCCTTTCCCCACATTAGCCTTTTCCTTCCTTCTCTCCCTCTCTTGCTTTCTTCATTGTCTGGTTTAGGCTGTACATTCTCAGGGACAGAGACCCATCCATCTTTTTGCCTCTGTAACTCTGGTTGCTACCACTGGATCAGCAACAGCCCAGAATGCCTTATGAATAAATATGTTTGCTATACCAAGAGGGGCGTGGTGCATTGGGTTTATATTAGAGGTGGGTGAACCCAAGCAGTCTTTTGCTGCCCTTAGGCTTTAATTCCACAATTGGAAGGGCTAAGTGGGGAGTGGGGAAGGCATAAAACTGCATCTCTGACCCATGCCTCCCTTCTTTATAAGAATCAGATACCCACAAGTCCTGTCCTCTACTTGACCTGGTCAGCCTATGGGAAATGTTCCAAAGAACTGGGGCCATAAAGGTTGTGGGTTTAGCTAGACATGTCCACTTAATTCGCATAGATCCAAAATCCCAGTGTGTTGAAACTTTGGGAATAGCACATTTACAAAATGCTTATGAACAGATGTAATGAGAGATGGGAAATGTAGTATTTTGGGGACTCAGTAGCTCTGTGGTACGGAGGAGATGATTTCTCCTAATCCAAGTTCAGCCTGGTGCTCACAGTGGGATCAGACACTACTCGCCTCTGACCCTATTGGATAAGACAGCTGGCTCACCACCACCTGAACCCAGGCCCTTGGCAGACTCCAACAGCTTCACATAGAATGAGGCAGCTTCACATGTTCAAAGTCAGACCATTGGTCCATCAGTGTTGGATGGACTGGGCTGTTGGATGGACATACTGTTGGATGGCCTGGGCTGTCCAAGGCATCAGAGGCACTTTCTAGTGTTGTTGCCTTAGATCCTTTTAATTGGAGATGCCAAGGATTGAACCTGGCACTGTGCTTTACCTCGAGCTTTGGCTAACCAGAGCTATGGTGAATTGTGTGCCATTTACAGCCCCCCCCCCCCCGATGTGCACATATTCCTCTAACCCAGAATTTCTTGGCTTGTTATTACATTATTTTATACCCCACGCTTCCTCCACTCAAGTGATAAAAAATGCATTTTTTAAATAAATAAAATACATTGAAAAACGTATTAACGCTTCATGCATCTGATGAAGTGGACTGTTGTCCACAAAATGTGTGGCGTTTTCTTGTGACACCGTGCTGCTTTTGCTGCAACAGACTTAAAACACACATCTGCCCCTCTGGAAATTACATTCAAAACTGAGTTTGCAGCCAAACTGTCTATCTATAACATAAGCTTGAGTGAATTATTATGTGCATAATTTGTAAACCAATCCACACTCTTGTGTGAAACGGAGTTGTTGATAACTGCCAGGTTTTGTTTGCTTTCGCCTTTTCTCTCGCTCTTCCTTTTGCATAATGAATCGAATTCTGCCTTTCCTTAGAAACTCCTTCTCAAGTGATATGTTGTGGTAAATCCATGTGTGCAGGGAAAGACTTGCCAGGAGGGAAGACTTCTGTTGCTCACATGCACTGGGTTTATGGAGAGAGATGGCAGCTGATGGCATGAATGAAACATGGCTCTGTGATTCTTCTCGACAGTTGAGATCACAAGCAGAACATCTTTTTTTGGGGGGGGAGAGCAAAATATCTCTTAACCACTCATCGCTCACTTTTCTGACTCTCTTAGAAAGAATCTTTCAAATATATTAAATGCCTGTTTGGAAGGCGTCCTCTCAGAGGTGTGTTCCTTATCATAAAGGCCAAATGTCTCTGTTTTCATTCAAAAGACAACCCACAGACGTGGCTGCTCATGCTGTTGGCGAAGGGGGAGAAGGCACCAAGAATTGGCAGTACAGTGGTACCTCGGGTTACAAACACCTCGGGTTACAAACACTTTGGGTTACAGATTCCGCTAACCCGGAAGTAGTACCTCGGGTTAAGAACTTTGCCCGCCCCAGGATGAGAACAGAAATCGTGCAGTGGCAGGAGGAGGCCCCATTAGCTAAAGTGGTACTTCAGGTTAAGAACAGACCTCCGGAACAAATTGAGTTCATAACCAGAGGTACCACTGTAGTTGGATGCCATCTAGAGGTGGGGCTAGGTAGTGCAAGGAGTGTTGGTGGGGGCGCTGTAATATTTTTGCCAGAATAATGTCCTGCAATGGTAGGATTTCTTGCAGTTCTCTCTTCCCCATAAACCACTGTCAGACATTCAGGACCATGCAGCTATATCTACATGAGCCCTACCCTTGCCTTCCCCCATCACTGTCCATGAGTGTGTTCAGGGTTACAGCTTATGGGGACAACCTGTGTGTATTTAGCAGACTGTCCCACTGTAGAATGCCCCCAGTGCAACATGTTGTCCTGCACACCAAAATAGGCTTCTGGTTGGCCAGTTTGAGAACAGGATGGTGCACATGACAGACCTTTCTTCTGATCCAGCTGGGCTGTTTTAACAATGTGCTCATATTCTTATTTCACATACAGTATTCCAGTTATTCTCGCAAACAGGCCTAGGAAAGAGGATAAGATATTTTCCCACCATTTTCTCAATTTGACCACTACAAAACAAGAGGTCTGGAAATAAGCCAATGAATATAGGAGCATCAACCAATCTCTGTCAGTCCAAATATGCTATTAGCTAGGGATAGCACCCCTGTTGTGATTAATGTAGTCACCCACCCACCCCAGTAAATGTGATTATTTACTTCCAGTGCTACGAGATGAAGAACTGAACTGAAAAGGAATTTTTGAATACTGAAAGACGTAATGTTCTAATGTTCTGGGTGATAAACCTTTTGCCTTTTTAAAATAACACAGCTTTTGAGCTGGATGTACTTCTTAATGTAAGCATTAATATTGCATAATTTGGATTTGAAAATGCCATTTGGCCAAGTGCAAAGCCCATCTTCTCTGCAAGCTCCAACTGTCCCCTCTGAGAGTCCAAACATTAGACTACCCATGCAAATATTTCGGGTTTATTATGTTTCAGGTGGACTGCACCATCTGCTAAAATGGCGAGGGAGGGGAGCTGATCCATTTATTCTTGCACTGTTCATTTGGCAGGCATCTGCAGCATGTACAGGCAACACTTCACTCAAGTCACCTCTGCAAAAGAGAATAAGGAGGCACCCCAAAGTGTAAAGGTAAAGGGACCCCTGACCATTAGGTCCAGTCACGGACAACTCTGGGGTTGCGATGCTCATCTCGCTTTATTGGCTGAGGGAGCCGGTGTACAGCTTCCAGGTCATGTGGCCAGCATGACTAAGCCGCTTCTGGTGAACCAGAGCAGTGCACGGAAACACCGTTTACCTTTCCGCTGGAGTGGTACCTATTTATCTACTTGCACTTTGATGTGCTTTCGAACTGCTAGGTTGGCAGGAGCAGGGACTGAGCAACGGGAGCTCACCCCGTCACGGGGATTTGAACCGCCAACCTTCTGATCGGCAAGTCCTAGGCTCTGTGGTTTAACCCACAGCGCCACCCGCGTCCCTAAATACATCCCAAAGTGTAGGGGTGCATTAATACGGTGCAAACACTCACAGGAGCATTTCTGTAGCTGTAACAAGCACAGTTGCCACAACATGTGGGGGCGGTGCTGTGGAGACAGAGTGTGTGGCAATGTAATGCCCCTGTAGTTCTGAAAAACCTGGCCTTAAATTGCCTGTGTGGTGGCTGAATGGCAAAGAGGTGCCATAAAGCTGTCTCTGTTTGTTTTATGGACCTGAAGCCAGTAAAAAAGGCAGCAAAAGGGGGGGGAGAGAATTCACTGTGCAGAATTTAGTATTATTGAATTGATGCCACAGACTGAGCTTGCATATGGTCCCAGAGCAACTTTGGCCAGGATTTCCAACTGGGGAGTGTGGGTGGGACTATCATTCATGCAGCAGTGTGGCTTTATAGTGAGATTTGAGGCAGACCAAGAGCGTCGTTTTCTGCTTTGAGGCCCCAAGGATGAGCTTGTTAATGATTAACCCCTGAAATAAATCTGTACTTCTTTCCCCAATATAAAATTCACAATTTCACCCAGGCTTCAATAATCTCTGTTTGGCACAGGCCGCTTACCAGAGGCGGGGAAGTTCCAGCGAGAGCGAGACAGCTTAGTTCACTATCCGCGACACTTCCCAAATGAAATAAATCATGTTGCAAAGGTTCATTGAGAAACTCAATTCAAACAGCTCCCAAGAACAGCAGCGGAATGTAACACAGACCAAAAGTCAGCAGTGCGTGCTGCCTGAGAGAAAAGTTGCCGGGGTGGGGAGTAAAAGCACCTAAGAACAGATCCACTCAATGTTTATTCTCTTTTATTTTGCACAAGGAACACAGGAGCATATGAAGCTGCCGTAAACCAAGTCAGACAGTTGGTCCATCTAGCTAAATATTGTCTACACTGACTGGCAGTAGCTCTCCATGCTGTTACTCAACATGCCACATAACATGACTGACTCTTGCCACGTTTGCGGACATTTTGAAAGATGCTGATTGGCCTAAAGGTTAGGGCTAGAATAAGCTGTGAATGCTCATATCGGGAAACATGTTCAGCAGAAACAAAAGAATTTTATTTCTA